AGATTGGAAAAAGTCCCAATCTTGAATATAATATAGTAGAATTGGGCCTAAACTCCCTTTTATAATATAGTAGAATATAAGCATAATACATAAACATGACCCTTAACTTGACATCAGCCGACAACTATGACATTTAACTTTGGGTGTGCACAAGTAGACACTTAAACTTGTATAAAATTGAACAAATAGACGCATTTCATCCTACATGGCATGCCATCCTGCATGACAAATTTGTGTCCTACGTGGCGTCCTATGTGTATTATGCCATGTAGGACACGTGTGTCTACTTATTCAATTTCATAGAAGTTGAAGTGCCCACTTCTGCACATTCAAAGTTGGAGGGTATAATTGTCCGCTGAAGCCAAGTTAAGAGTCATGTTTATATATTATGCCTTATATATATAATAATGCAAATCTCATTAGCTTAGAGGCTAATTACACAAAGCTCATTAGCTCTATTATAGTTTTTTGCCATATTTTGATACCTAAATACATATTCAAGGTGTGCAAATAAATATATCTCAGATATATACTAAATAGATACATCTAATTATATAAATTTAAATATGAAATGTAACTGAAAATTATCAATTTAGGAGCAAATCAACAAAAAAGTACTCCTGCTGCCACTATTTTAATATATAGCGAGGACTAAGTCTTCGACAAAGACTAGGTCCACAATAACTTTATATATATATAAAGTTATTACAAACATCATATCTTCACCAACTTCAATAAACTCATATTTCAACCCAATCACATGTTACTCCTTAAAATATGGAATGAGGCACAAATTCTTTCACGCGCCTCATTTATGTGGAGTCATGAAATTAATGTGCCATGTGAGAAAAGGTGTATGAAATTACAAAAAAAAAATGAATTCGAAGGATAATAGAACCTTAGTTTAATTAAGATGTGTTTCTAATATTTCGATAAGAATTTAGAAAGTACTTATGCCGTATCCCTTAAATATCTATTTGGAATCCATTATTTTGGCTATGCGTCCAATGACACTATTTGGAGGGGACATTTTTGAGGCCGAGTAGAAAAGGAGAGGACATGTGTATTTTTTTATTTTTGGTTTCTCACACAGTCTACGATTTTCATATTAAAACTCGATTAAATCTTAATTTATGCCAAAAATTATATGTTGAGGGAGAAAATATTTCCTAACAAAGGTGACTCTCTATCTAGAGGGACTCGAATTCAAGACCATTGACTAAGAATGAAGGAGTACTTATCACTCCACCACAATCCTTATTGGCGAAAGGACAGGACATGTGTTTGCGGTTGTGTGTAGACATTTATGAGTATGAATCAAAAGGAAGACTTATCGCTATTAAAAAAAAAACATAATACATAAACATGACTTTTAACTTAACATCAGCTGATAATTATGACTTTTAACTTAGGGTGTGCACAAGTAGGCACTTAAACTTGTATAAAATTGAACAATATATTCGTTCTACATGGCACCATACATGGTTATTTTGTGTCCTACGTGGCATCCTACATGTATTATGCCATGTAGAACACATGTGTCTACTTGTTCAATTTTAAAAAAGTGTAAGTGTCTACTTGTGCACACTCAAAGTTGGAGGTCATAGTTGTCCGCTGAAGATAAGTTAAATGTCATGTTTATGTATTATGCCTAAAAAACTAGGTCAACTTTAAGCATTTGGACATATAGTTTTATCTCGTGATTTAAAAATTATTATTTGAATAAATAATTTTATCTCGTGATTTCAAATCATGAGCTGAAATTCCAATTTTCTTTAAAAAATTATTTTGAGAATTTCATATCATGATTTCATATTTTTTTAAAACAAATATTAAAGAAAATTCCACCATTTTATATCTCTTTTTTTTCAAGAATACCAAAGAGGTGATGAAATATTCAAGGAATATAAACATGATGATATAGTTACTAATAATATTGATCATGTTCAATTTTATTAAAAAAGTAGTACACTACAACTCAGATTCAATTTTATTTTTAGAATAACTTTGTGATAGTGTATAAAAATCCAAATTACATATTTAAATAAAACTTCAACTTTATCTCATATAATTTTATATCATAATTTTAAATTCAATTCTTATTTTCACTATTTTTTAATATATAGCGAGGACTAAGACTTCGTCAACTTTTATAGTTTAATATTCAAGAACCATCCATTTAATAACTCCAACTTTTTTTTGGTTTCCCATTGACAGTAAAAATATTCCTTGAATGGTATGGTTCACTATTTTGAAGTTCGATTTTGATATTTTGTGGTATGATAAATTATTAATTATGATTTGTTAAATTTTGATTAATATATATTCATATAATAGAGTACTATGACTTTGACAATTTAGAAAATGTCTCAATTGAATCATAGTAACACATTACACATGTAGAAATGTATATTCAAAAGAAAGTAGAAATAAATTATGTTATTTATGTAACTATATACTTCGGTATGATATTTAGTATTTATATATTAACTATATACTTATATGTAATTATATACTTGTATAAAGTTGAGTAAGTAGACACATGACTTCTATGTTGCATAATACACGTAGAACACCACGTATAATGCAAATTACCATATAGGTGCCATGTACGTAGAACGCAACGGCGGACGTAGGTTATGTACTTTGGGTACTTAAGCACCCATTGCTTTTTGTGATGAACATTATTATTTGTGTACAATATCTGATAATTCATTCAAATATATTAACTAAGCACCTACTCTATATAGCAATTTTAAAACTAAAAATAATTAAGTATCCATGATATAAAATTTATGAATCCGTCACACTGATATGATGTATGTATTTATTTGTTTAATTTTATACAAGTGTCTACTTGAGAACACTCAAAATTAGAAGACTTAATGTAAAATAAAACTATATTAAAGACCATATTTATGTATCGTGCCAAATATAAATATCAAACTTCACCAACTGCAATAAACTCATTTCTCAACCTATTCACATGTTACTCTTTAAAATATCTACTTGGAATCCATTATTTTGGCAATGAGTCAAGAGTAGAAAAGGAAATGACATGTGTATTTTTTTTGTTTTGGGTTCCCACATAATGTACGGTTTTCATATTAGAGCTCGATCGTCGATTTTTTTAAAAAAAAATTAAGGGATAAAATACTCTCTTACAAGTGTGACTTTCTATTTAGAAGGACTAGAATATGTGACATTTGATTAAGGATAAAAAAATATTTATTACCCCACCACAACTCTTATTAGTTAAAGGAAAGGACATGTGTTTGCAGTCATGTGTAGACATTTATGAGTCTGAATAAAAAAGGACATGACGATGTGAAAGACTCATCACTATTAAAAAAAGAACAAAGACTTTTAAATGAGTCGGTCAACTTATTAAGCGTTTGGACATATAATTTTATCTCGTGATTTAAAATTAGCATTTGGATAGATGATTTTATTTCGTGATTTCAAATTAAATGGTGAAATTCCAAATTTTTTTTAAAAAAAAATTAATTGAGAATTTCATATTTTTTTAAATACAAAAATTAACGCACAAGTTTATATTTTATAAAAGAAAATTTCACCATTTTATACCTGTATTTTTTTTTGTGTGTGAATACCAAAAGTTATGAAATATTCAGAGAATATGAACATGATGATATAGTTATTAATGATATTGATCATGTTTCATTTTATTAAAAGGTAGTATACTACAACTCAAGTTCAATTTTACTTTTTTTTTACTGAACTAAAGTTCAATAAATAAATATTGGAGTATATTTTTTTAGAATAACTTTGTAATAATGTATAAAAATTCAAATTATATATCTAAATAAAATTTTAACTCCATTTCATATGATTTCATATTATAATTTCATTTCACATTATCAAACAGAGCCGTACAACATATTCCACTACATTATTTATGCACACCTTTGGTGATGTGAAGATCTCATTGCTAGCTACTAGTTGAACTTTCGAGTGAATAAAATACTTATGAAGTAGATTGTAACTTTCGATTTTGAATACAAAATAATATATTTACGATCTCAAATTTGAAATAATATATCTAAGTATGAAAATTATAAACTAATTTAAAATATATTAACAAAACAACAATTATATATTCAGTGAAATTCCACTAAATAGGATTGGAATATAGTGTGTACGTAAACTTTATCACTATCTCGTGGAGATAGAGAAACTTGACTTTTTTACCTATTAATACCAAACCAATAGTCGATTTTTCTTCAATGCTAAACCAACTAAATCAAACCACAAGTTGAATTTTTTTTTTCCTTCGACTTGACTTGGTTCGTGAGTTTGATTTTACTCAACTGTTTGACTTGTAAACCCCTATTCAGTAATGGAGGATCCAGGATTTTAAGCTTGTGGGTGCTTGCTTGCTTTTAAAACATAAATCTACCATAAACTACATAGTAGTATAATTGTAGAAGTGTTCAACTTAATATTATAGTTAAAAACTCTCCCTTTCTAAGAAAAAAGTAAATTAACCATGTGAAATTTCTTAATCAGCCAGAATTTCTCAAGAAAAAACAAAAGAAGAGTAATCTTTTATCAAAGAGGAATTACAAAATTTTAAATGAAATATAAAATAAATACATAAAGAATCTGTATTGGATCAAAAGAAGAAAACATTACAATTCCAAACCAAACCACCCAACAAACTTTTAATTCATTAGAGGCTAATACTTTATTATAACTATTTTAGAAATAATTCTGTATAAATATATGAATTTACATCGAAATTAATGGGTGCTCGTGCATTGCACATGGGTCTGTCCCTGCCTATTTGCATTTAAAATAAGAATACAAAACAAAGACCTAACTAAAAACTCAGTCAACTTACATTTTTTAAAATAAGAATACAAAACAAAGACTTATAAAAATGATTGGGTCTACTTAAAATAACATTATTTTTATTTATATAACAGCAGTGGTGATGTGAAGATGTCATTACAAGCTAATAGTTGAAAAAAAAAAAAATTTTGTTAGATTTGTAACAACTGAAAGGAGATATGGCAGATACAGTTGTGAATTTTCTGGTAGAGAATTTGTTGCAGCTATTAACTGAAAATGTGAAGCTAATTGGAGGTGCAAAGGGAGAATTGGAAAATCTACTTAAAATTGCTCAACAACTCAAAGCTTTTTTAGATGATGCCGCAAAATACGGATACACGAATAGTGAGCAGTGGAAAGTTTTGGTGATAGAAATACATAAAACTGTGCACAGAGCTGAAGATGCCATTGATAAGTTTCTGGTTCAAGCAAAGCTGCATCAAGATAAAAATACGATGGGAAGGATATTTGATTGGCCACGCAATTTGATTAAAGTTAGGAATCTTGCTGCTGAGATTAAAGGTATACATGATCAAGTCAAAGAACTTCGTAAAAACAATCAAGCACTTCAGGCAACCCCTGTTCTTGAGCTCCCTAAAAAAGGGGAAATAACTCAGGTATAATTCAAACCTCTTGTTAACAGCTAATTTGTGACCTAAAGTCTAAATTTGAGATTTCCAAAAAAAATTTGGGATGGGGAAGGGGTTAGGGATGTGAAATTGGGATAAGAGAAAAAAAATTGTTTTGTTTTAAAAGATTTTTTAATTGTTTTTTGGGGGTGGTGATGGGGGAAGTTGGGCTAGACAGTGGAGTGGGGTAAGAATATTTTTTTAGAAACTCTTAAGAATATTTGGAGGAGGGGGGGGGGGGGGGAGGGCGGGGGGAGAGGTGGGATTGGGTACTGGGTAGGGCATGTGATAAGGTACGAAAACAAATTAGTTTTTTTTAAAAGTTCATCTTCTCTTGTTTAGCATTTAATTATTTAAATGTTTTCTTTTATTATATATATATATATATATATATATATGAATGTTTTAAGACCCTCAATAATTGAGAGAATAAAATATTTTTTTACCTCAAATTAATGAGTGTTTTCAATAAAGGGCTCACACATATCATTTTCATATACGGAAGTAAAAAATATAACTTTAATTTTTTTTTTATTTTAACTTTTTAAAAATTCATGTAGGGATATACATTATTTTTTTCAAAAATTATTTTTTTGACTTGGTTGATTATCATTATTTGAGTTTTTATTCTTAGTTTTTCTTTTATTCTTAGGAAAAATGTCTGAAATATATCTGAACTTTGACCGAAATTGTTGTAACAATTCCAAACATTGGCCACGACTTATTACCCCTGCACTTTTTAATAGTGTATTTTAAAGATATATAAGTGTTCAGGTAGACAAGTTATTATTTATAATGATGCAATATTTATGATGTCCACGTGGTCACCTATATATCTTTAAAATATATATTAAATAGTGCAGGAGATAATAGGTCCTGTCTAAAGTTTGGGATTGTTACAACAATTTCGATCAAAATTCGCATATATTTTGAACCTTTTTCTCTTTATTCTTTAATGTAAACATATAAGAAATAATAAGAAATAAGTGTGAATGGAAAAAGAGAGAAAAGTAAGAATTTTTTAAAGCTATATTATAGTTTAAAACTACTTTTTAGTTGTTATATTTTAATTTAATTTTTGTATTAGTAAAAAAATGGGGCAGTTATAATAAATTTTATAAGATAATTAGAAAAAATAAATTTGACCATCAAAATAATAAATTTAAATTAGTCATTAGAGTAAAGAAGTAAAAAAATACATGTGAGAAAGGCCAAATATACTCCTACATGAATTATTTTTAGGGAAAAGGATCTCAAAAGTGCTCCAACTTTGGCCGAAATTGCTGTTACGATATCAAACTTTATGGAGGACCTTTTACCCCCTGAACTATTTAATAGTATATTTTTACCTCCCTAAACTATTTAATAGTGTATTTTAAAGGTAAATATGTGTCCATGTGGACACATTACTATTTATAATAATGCAATATTTTTTATATCCGCGTGGACACATATATACCTTTAAAATACATTATTAAATAGTGCAGGGGGTAAAAGGTCATTTCCAAAGTTTGGTATCGTAACAACAATTTCAATCAAAGTTCGAATATATTTCTGACCCTTTTCCCTTATTTTTAAATACATTTTTTTTTAAAAAAAAATAAAATAAATTCACTTCTTTTAGAGGAAAATGGTATATGTGAGCAATTTGTGTAACAGTAAGGTTATATATGAGCTATGAGAAGTATATTAGACCTTTTTTCTACTAATTAGTTTAACATAGTGTCTTTTAACTTGAACTCAACTCATATTTATGTCTTTCAATTTTGGGTGTGCATAAATAGACACTTATTTGTTGACTTTATCCTCACCGGTTAATATGGAGTTGTTTTTACCTTGCCGTTACTATACTTGTCATCCGTACCCCTCTATTAGATGGAAAACCCCAAATCAACTAAAAACACCCAATTTCGATTAAAATAACCCAATTTTCTTTTTTAATCTGAAGCCAACCCACTAAACCAAATGAATTCATATCAAATTAAAATCCCAAATCCATCTCTCTAATCTTCTTCATTTGCTTCCTCCATTGGGATTTTAATTTGGTATGAATTCATTTGTTTTAGTGGATCGAGTTCGACTTAAAAGAAAACATCGGGTCATTCTAATTGAATTTGGGTAATTTTAGTTGATTTGGGGCTTTTCATCCAATTGAGGGATATGGGTGACAATTATAATAACGGCGAGGATAAAAACAACTTCAAAGTAAATTAATAAATGAAGTTGAGGATATTTTTGAACCTTTTCCCTTCAAACAAGTATATTTCAATTGACAAAATAGCTAATCAATTTTATGCTTGACATAATACAAAAATGTGCGCTTTAACTTTGCCTCATTTCACATTTATGCCCTTCAACTTTGGGTATGCACAAGTAGACATTTAAACTTGTATAAACTTGAACAAGTAGACACATGAGTCCTACGTGGAACAATACACGTAGGACAAAAAATGACATGTAGGATGCCATGTAGGACATGTGTGTCTATTTGTTCAATATTATACAAGTTTAAGTGTCTACTTGTGCACACCCAAAGTTGAAGAATTTGAAGTCAAGTTAAAGGGCATATTTATGTATTATGCCTTTATGCTTCATCTGTCTCAATTTATATAGTCACTTTATCTTTTTGGCCAGACAAAAGAATGACACGTTTTTATATTTGGTAACAATTTAACTTTTAAATGTTTGTTTTAGTCTTAATAAAATGGACTTACTTGAGATGTATAAGTTGTGAAGATCAGCCATTCTGTTTTCTGATGTGATTTATATGTTTAAAAGGGTCCTTCTTTGGAGAATGACGCAGTGGTCGGGTTTGATGACGAAGCTAATAAAGTGATCAAGCGACTTGTTGAAGGACCGATGGAAAGTGTCGATATTATCCCAGTGGTGGGGATGCCCGGACTTGGAAAAACTACACTGGCAAGAAAAATCTATAATGATTCTAAGCTTACATATGAATTTTACAGCATTGTTTGGGTTTACGTCGGTCAGGAATGCAAAGCAAAGGATATTTATCTTAGGATTCTTAAATTCTTCAAAAAAAACATAGAAGATCATCTCAATGATGATGTGGACACATTGGCTAAGGCAATAGGTGGTTATATCAAGAAAGGAGGTAGATGTCTCATTGTTTTAGATGATGTGTGGGAAGACGAAGTCATTGATCATGTAAGGAAAGTTTTCGCAGAAAACAAGAAGGGTCATCGGATTATGATGACCACACGTGACTTACGTGTTGCTAAATTTGCCAATTCAGAACCTCATGTGCTGAAATTCTTGAAGACAGAAGAAAGTTTTGAATTGTTGGTAATGAGAGTTTTTGGCAAGGGAAGTTGTCCAAATGAATTAGTGGTAACTGGGAAAAAAATTGCAGAAAAATGTGGTGGAGTACCACTTGTAGTAGTGGTAATTGCAGGAGCATTAAGAGGTCGTTCGGACAAAAAGGATTGGGAAAGAGTTGACAAAAATGTGGTGCAACATTTTGGTGAGCATACCGAAGATAGCTGCCTGAAATTTGTGAAGATGAGTTATGATCATTTGCCCGGAGAAGTGCAGATGTGCTTCTTGTATTGTGGTGTCTTTCCTCGAGGCTTTGATATCCCTTGTTGGAAATTGATTCGTTTGTGGATAGCAGAGGGGTTGATAAAGCCACAGCCTGAGTTCACACTAGAGGAGATAGCAGAGTTTTATTTGACAGATCTTCTCAACAGAAATTTAGTAATAATAATGCAAAAGAGGTCTGATGGTCAAATAAAAACATGTCGTCTTCACGACATGTTGTATCAGTTCTGCAAAAAGGAGGCTAGTAACAAATGGCTTTTTCAAGAACCTGATCAATCTAAACTGGACCCAGATACTTGCCGTCGATTGTGTATTCAACCATCTAATCTGTCTGACTTTCTCTCCACAACACCTGTTGCAGAACATGTCAGATCTTTCTATTGTTTTTCCTCAAAACAAAAACCAATTGAGTTGTCTCCTAATGAAATCAAACTCATTCACAAAGCCTTTCCACTTATGAGAGTCTTGGATGTTGAATCTCTCAAGTTTATTTTCTCCAAAGACTTCAACCAATTATTTCATTTGAGGTATATTGCTATCTCAGGTGACTTTAAGGCCCTCCCTCCTACCTTTGGTAAATTCTGGAATTTACAAACTCTAATACTTAATACAAGTACCTTAGAACCCACTCTTGAAGTAAAACCAGAAATATGGAACTTGTTACAGTTGAGGCATCTCCACACCAACATACCTGCAAAATTGCCATCCCCGACTACCACCACAGGTAAACCTTCTTGTCTACAGACTCTTTCTATGGTTGCGCCAGAAAGTTGTGAGAAAGATGTGCTAGCAAAGGCGTGTAATGTAAGAAAATTGAGCATTCGAGGGCAAATGGCGGCATTTCTTGGTGCTTACAAGGGTGGTATCAACAATCTTGTAGAGCTACAGTGTCTGGAACATTTAAAATTGTTGAATGATGTTCTTTTCATAAATAAAACACTTCACCTTCCACTAGCATTCTCCAAACTGGTACGTACGGTGAAGAAGTTAACTCTGACAAACACAAGGTTTGCTTGGAGTGAGGCGGATAAATTGGGGACATTGGAATCTCTTGAGGTCCTAAAGTTTAAAGAAAATGCATTCACGGGTGAATTCTGGAAGCCAAAGAGTGGATTTAGCGCACTCCAAGTCTTGTGGATTGAAAGGTCAGAATTAGAATCTTGGGAGGCTTCGGTTATTAACTTCCCCATGCTTAGGCAACTTGTTCTTATCTCTTGTGATAAGCTTGATGATGTGCCACTTGAGCTGGCTGATATACCTAGTCTTCAAGAGATGAGGCTGGATAACACAAGCAAAGCAGTACAATCCGCAAAAAATGTTCGAGATAGCAAGACATCTAAAAGCATGAAACTCAAGCTAAGCATATTCCCTCCTGAAAATGAATCCAAGGTTGCACAGTGATATTGAAAGGTCAGTTGAATTCATTTATAATGAAACCATTAAATCCATAACTAACCAATTCTTTCCTTACATTATGAATTTGCGGTCTGCTCTAACGTGTTTATATTGCTCGACCATGATTTGGAATAGAAAATACCATTTGTTTATTTCTTACATAATTTTCCTCCTTTCTGCAGGAGAGAACTTGGACATTGAGCTTGCTGGAAGCCAGGGGTCATCAGACAAATAGCTAACTGGAGTATTGTCATTTTGAAATAACGCTAGGTCTGCTGCATTTCGAGTTCCCCTTTATGTGGATTGTTTTTTTTTTCTCGGTTGTGAAACTGTTTGCATCTTTCCTATTCTGTTATGGTTGTATTTGCTTTGTTTCGTTCGTGTAAAACTCTTGTTTTAATCTATCACTGTTTTTGTTGAAAGACACGTTACTCCCAACAAAGGCGCTATTGCATGTGTCTTAGCTTTTAGATGAATTCTAGTTAATCATTTTTGAATCAGACACTACTGCATCCTTTTGGAAGTTGGAAACAGCACAAGCATCTTCGCGTAAGCTTGAGTACTAGTGATCGGAAAACTAATAAGCTTTCTCCGGGAAAATTATCTTCCTTAAATATGTAACTGAAACTTAGGGATGACAACGGGGTGGATTCTAATATTTGCCTGACATTCTGAAGTTAGTCTGGATCTTCTATAATCACAAAACAATGAACAGTACTTGATGGTGTTGAGGTATGAGGTTATACTACATAGCGAAGTATTAGCAAAGTAAATTATGACCGTACGTGATGAAAGAAATCAGGATATAAAACAAACAGTGACGAATTTCAATTCATATTTGTTGACAATTTTTTTTAAAATTGAAGCTCCTGGTGATTTCTATACTGGTAAAGTGAACTTCTCATAGCTAAAATATACTCTTCACATTTCTTAACCAACAAAGAGAGATGGCAGATGCAGTTGTGAACTTTCTGGTGGAGAACTTGTTGAAGCTATTAAGTGAAAATGTGAGGCTGATTAAAGGCGTAAATGACGAATTCAACAATTTGTTGGAAGAAGTTCAACGCCTGAAAGTGTTCCTTGACGATGCCCTTTAACTTAGCCTCGTCTGACATCTATGCCCTTTAACACAATTCATCAAATCCAAGTCTAGAAACCATCTTCCTTTCTTGAACTTGTATTGAACTATATTCAAGAGCTAAGGGAAAGCATGTCATTGCCGATAAGTTAAATGGGAAGGCTAAGTAACCAACAATCTTAGCTTGAATGTAATGCAGAGAAAACCAGTGTGCTGTGTGTATGTTTCTAGATATCACATAAAGAACAGAACATCAACAAAAAACATGTATTATACATGAACAGAGGAAAACAGATTCAAAGTGTGAAACCAGCAATTCTTATACTCCGTAGGCAATGCATAATAGATTGGACATCCTTATTCATTTCGAAAACAAAATAGATATTACAGTACATCAATTGTTACCATTTACGAAATACAAAAAAACAATTGGCCGAGACATGTATTAAACATGTTTATTCCTAAAACATGAATTTAACAAATGATCAGAATATAAAAACAAAATATGAACTGCACGGTTCTCAATTCGGAAGATAGCATTAGATGATCCCTCAAAATAAGCTTCAATCCGCTGCATAAGCAAGATAAAAAGTACAAGTCATCATCTTGATTTCATGGAGATAAGATTTAATAAAATTGAGGTTTTAAATAATGTGAAGAATCGAAGAACTTTTCAGAGAGAATTAAAACTTACTGTGGCTGCTATGAATGTAGACCATAAGGATATTATTTCCCATTTCCTTTTGTTCTTGTTCGATGTTTCTGGCAGAATCCTCAGAAATAGTTCTGCAATCATGTAACTCAATTGATTCCAAAGTACCAATTTCCCCAAAATCTGTTGGAATTTCTTGTAGGAACTCGCAATTCTTCAGAATAAGGCGTTTTAGATTAGGGAAGCTATCACTGCTAGCTTCCCAACGCTTAAGATTTGGGTAGCTCAGTAACAACAACTTCAAGCTTTTGAATATGTCTTTGTCAGTCAATCTCCATATATCATCTTTGGCTCGACAACGTTTAAGTTTGAGCTCTTCAAGATTTGGCAACATGATAAAAGTTGATGATATCTCTTCCCAAATAAAATCACAACAGAGAGCTAAAGTCAACTTCCTAAGTGATGTTGGAAAAACAAATCTTTTGATTGAAATAAAAACATATCTCCAGGAAAACTTGAATGCCTCAAGTTTTCTCAAGCTCGACATATCCAAGAGATGATATCGAACATTGTCTAGCCAAAAAGTTGCGTGAATGGTCAATCTCTTTAAATTGGGGATGCTAGAAAAGACTTCATTTGTACAACTAGAGTAACAAAGACCAAAAAAATTCTCTAGATTTGGCATACCTGTCACAAGATTCTTATCTATTCTAGGACTTGGTAAATAACTGGCTTCCGTTAAATGTATATACCTCAAGTTCTTCATCATCCATATCTTCCGAGGTAAAGTCATATCCGATGATATAACATCACAAATTAGAGTTTGCAAATTTAGAAGCTCTGAGATTGATTCAGGAATATTTCCAAAACATCGAACTTGGAGAGATCTCAAATGAAATAACTTTGTAATCACAAGTGGAAATGTGCCGAACCAGTCAGGAAAGATGGCCAATACCCTGAGATGGTTGAAACTAGAGAAAAACCCATGTATTATAGGATCATGACGGTAGATGGGCAAGATAGGGAGAAGCTTAATACGGAGTTCAAAAGGTAGACCCAAGAGAGAAAAGCAGTAGATAGATCTGGCTACACGGGGTAAGAGCTTATAAGGAGCCCAAATAATATCTTGAATACTGAAGCGACGAAAATTAGGCTTTTGTGCTGGTGACAATGGAGTTCTCACAACATGCATAAACTTTGTCATTTCAGCTTCTATCAAACAGAACTCACACAGCAGATCATGTATTCCGCATACTTTTACCTCACCATTGAATCTTTTTTTCTAGCCATTATCAAGTTCCTGCTGATAAGATCCTCCAAATAATGTTTTGCCACTTCTTCCAAGCTTTCATGACTTCCAGAAGACGTCCTTATGAAACCTTCTGCGATCCATAATTGGATCAATCTCCAAGTATCAACTTGAAAATCCTCTGGGAAATCACCATAGAAAGAAAGCACGGTTTGAGTCGATTAGGCAAGTGATGGTAACTCAAACCAAGCACTCCTAAGCATTTATTTGGATGATTAGCAATGATTTCACTTAAGGTTTTGGCAACATACTTCCAACTTTCTAATGTCTTGGCCACCGTTTTAGAGAGATACCCTGCAATCACTGAAATTATTAAGGGAAGTCCTTGACATTTTTCTGCTATTGTTTTTCCAATTTCTTCCAACTCGGGAGGATGATCGTGTTCTAGTCCAAACACCTTATCACGGAGTAACTTCCAACTATTATCTAAATCCAAGAGGTTCATCGTATGAGGGCTACTAGTATTTGCATACATCGCTACCTTAGTTTCCCTAGTAGTCAATAAGACCCGACTCCTATTGTTGCAATTAGGAAATATTTGTGATATGCTATCCCAAACATCCCTACTCCAAATATCGTCAACAACAACAAGGTATCTTGGACCCTTTAGGTTCTTTTGCACCAGATCAGCTAACTCATTGTCTTCCATCTTAACATCATCTTTTGCGTTCACGATAACTTTTTTCTTTGAAATGCAATGTAAAGCTTCTAACAATGCATTTCTATATCGAAATTCTTGAGATATTGTAACCCAAACAAAAATGTCAAAGTGACACCTGATTGGAAGATGATCATAAGCTTTTTTAGTGAGTGTTGTTTTGCCAATGCCACCCATACCTGATATGGTGACAATGTCTAGATCCGATGTTGGTCCTCTCAATCTTTTATCTATTATCTTCAAGTCACAATCAAGTCCCTGCACGATATCATCTTTCAAGTGATCTGACAGCATTGGATCACTCATAGAAGAAGCGTCAATCAAGGAATCCGCAGTTAATTCAAGAATTTGATCAGCATCATGAGAAAGAAGCTCCATCACTTGTTTCTTTGTCGTATCCATTTTTTCAACAACTGGTATCATGGTGTTGTAAAATTCCAAATGTCCAGCTTTCTTCTTTGATGATTTCAGAAATCTTCATTTCAACAACATCCTCTGCCTCACTAACAACAACTCTAATATCTTCCTCCAAAGATTTGATTTTCTCATTGCCAGTGTTTTCAAGAACATCTTGAAAATATTCAGCTGTAGCCCGAAGAGAATCGAGCATTTCAGCACTGTGATCATGAAAGAGTTCTGAAATATTTGGTTGATCAAGAGTTTGAAGAAGAGAAATTACAGCAGTATAAGCTGCCATCAAGTCAATATGGAGAGGAATTACAACAAAAATAATTTTTAGATGTAACTCAAGATATCAAATAATGTACTACTCTTGTGTATTTATAATTAATTTCCAACACCATGTTAATTGAGTGTGTAAAATCAGAAGAGTAGGTGTAATATTAATGATGGGCAGTTGGGTGACTGATATACAACCATACCGCAATTTAATTTGCAGCACCATGTTAGTATTTATCAATAAAATAATGCGAAGCAGTTAAATATTACAACAGGATAAGTAGTCATATTGTAATGTTTTGGATTAATAATACATAACTAAGTCAATGCCAGTTGGATGCGTGAAAACAGATCTGTGTCGACTTAGCTTCTTGTTCCCTTAATGGCTCGGACTCGCCACTTTAGGATTGAAGGTGAAGGATGTTTACCATGCGAGAACCTTCCTCTGGTTTATTAATGTTTTCTTTCTTTTGATATAGACAATTTTTCTAATAAATTAAGAAAACACCATTTATTGTTAATTTGTCACGGTTCACTAGCCACCATTTATGATCATTATCATTAACCACCACTACGTAACAACCAATAATTACTATCGACAATCATCTCCATCAGTCACCACGTACTATATATTAATACTAATTACTGACATCATTCACCACCACCTATTAAATAAATTTAGTTACCAAAAAACATTTTGACAGAACAGATTGCCATGTCACAGAAGACGATCGATAAAACTAAGAATATTTCATTTGAGAAAGTGATTGACATGAGCTCCACGCAGTACAGCAAAAGTTTCAAGTTACTACAGGTACAAAAACTTAACTGGATAAACTACGAGAATTACCAATGGTGCAGCCATGTGCTTCGACGTTTAGAAAATAAGTGATGTGCTTAATGGCTATGTAATGCATGCACATAAAAGATTGTATGATAGAAGTACAACTTGAAACCTTAACTGTGAGAACTAACAAATTCACACTTCACATTTATATTAAGCTATGACGTTTAACTACAGAAACTCAATACTATTAGCTTCATCTA